CTCATTCTTGTCTGTTTTTGAAACGTCGTTTCCACAATTATTTTCTTTGCATTCCGTGACCTCATTGAGGGTCACATTGGTGTCTTATAGACATATAGTATCTCTAGAGACCATTTTTTTACCCTTTGCATCTGCATTCTGATTCATTGTTGGATTTACTTTCGGGTCACCGTTGTTGTACCAGGTTGAAAAAAATCCGGGTCGTTACAAGTGGTATCAGAGCTCCTAGGTTCGAAAACCTTAGGATGATGGGTTTTGGGTGTATATCATGCTTTTGTTGATTTACCTTGATGTATTCACATGCTTTTTGATTACATGTTTACACGTCTTTTGATAACATGCTCGGTATGATGACATGTCTTCTATACTTATATGCTTATGTGTTTTAAAAAAAAAAAAGTATCCTTGTTTGACATGTATACTTATTTGCTTAAGTACTTAGCCCTTTAAACAGCTTTGTTTTATTGTTTTAGCATAACCGTATGTTGCTTATCCTGTCTTGCTTCGTGTTACATTCTTTTATAGTGTGAGTTGCACTCGGTCATGATAGCTTGTGTTATTGTTGACCTCTTCCCTTATGTACGTTTAGCATCATGGTTGTCACGTGTGGGGAGTCCTCACGTCAGGGCGTTGAGGAGTAGGTTGATGACATTGAGTTTATGAGGGGTCCGGGAAGGCCTAGGATTCCAGTTCATGGCATGGGCCCAAATCCACCATGAGCTCTAACTTATGAGGAGCAGATTGCACAGGGAGTGGCTCTGGGAATGTCAGAGTCTATTCAGCAGATGTTTCGTCAGCATATTGCAGGTATGTAGATTCCGGTATCGGTACCAGTACCAGCACCAGTTGCTAATGCGGCATTGGACTACTTCACGAAGTTACAGAGGGTTAAGATTAACTAGTTTACAGGGAGTATGGATTTGCTTGCTTTAAAGGCATGGTTTGCTCTCATGGTACGCAAGCTCGAAAGCATGGTAGTACCCTTAGACCAATTGAGGATCTCCTTGATTGCCTCTATATTCATGGGAGATGCTGATATCTGGTGGAGGTCCATGACCAATATCCACGATGTGGAGGTGATGACTTGGGAGGAGTTCAGGACATTGTTCTCTAACCGCTTCTTTCCTAGGGCTATGAGGCGGGAGATGAGGATACAGTTCACAGGTCATTATCAGGGCACTATGAGTGTCATTGAGTATGAGACACGATTTACTTCTCTCTCTTGTTATGCCGAGGACATGGTGGCGACAGATGAGGCCAGGGCAATGAAATTTCACGATGGACTACATCTTGACATCAGGCCACGGGTCTCAATTCTTGATTTGAGGACTTACAGAGAGGTAGTCTAGATGGCTATGCTAGCTGAGGCGGAGGAACGGGATCAGTTACGGATCAGGGGTTCACACAAGCAGCCTCGCGGTGACACTCGGTCATCTTTCGAGAATCCGTGGAAGAAGGCTAAGGCCGGGGACAGTTCACGCACTCAAGGACAGTCACAGTAGGCTCGGTCTGCACCCACAGTTCCTGTATCTTCGGGATCAGCCTGGGGAGTGATTTGTCACCATTGTCAACAGCCGGAGCATATCAAGCCTCGCTGCCCACAACTTCAGCCACAAAACAGTCAATCACAGGCTAGTAAGCCTACAGCTTCGATGAAGGGGTTTCAGGGGACTTGCAACTATTGCAAGCAATCTGGTCATATGAGGAAGGATTGTCCTCATCCACGGAGGAGGGCACAAAGTGGCGCAGGTTCACAGGCCACACCGGCACAGTCAGCAGTTGTGCAGTCAAGTTTCAGGGTGCCACAAGCACCACAGCCAGTTGCACCAATCAGTTCATATCCGGGTAGAGGTTCTACCCCTACTGCTTCCGGACATCAGTCGGGCCACCAAGGCAGTTCTCAATAGTCCGTTGCTCAGGGACGAGCTTACGCATTGCTACAGGCTCATACTTCTGCTGGGACTTCTACAGTTCTAGGTATTTTTCCAATTTTCAGTTCTTAGATTAGAGTTCTTGTTGACACGGGTGCATCATATTCATTCATATCTGCTTCATTTGCACATTATTTGGGTCTGGAGGTCACGCAGCGGGATAGTTTCATTTGTGTTGACACACCAATTGGGGTCTAGTGTCCTTGGACCGTGTGTGTCGGGGTTGTACTATCGAGATAGCTGCGTGGACTTTAGAGTTCGATTTTGTAGTTTTCGACATGATAGGCTTTGACGTTATTCTCGGGATGGACTGGTTGTTTTTCTTTCATGCCACGATCAATTGCTTCCGCGGGCGAATGTCTGTTTGCACTCCCACGGGAGATTGTTTTCACTTCATGGGAGATCGGAGCGATTCGCACTCGACAATGATTTTTAGCATCGGTGACTGGAGTCGCCACAAGTCCTTCTTAGCTAGCCTATTAGCTGACGAGGGTAGCAGTTCAGGTCGTGTTTATCCAACAATTGTTGTGGAGTTTCTGGATGTTTTTTCGGAGGAGTTGACGGAGCTTCGTTCTCTTCGGGAAGTTATTTTTACCATCGACATCATTCCCAGTACTGTGCTGATCTCTATGGCACCGTACCGTATGGCACCAATAGAATTGGATGAGCTGAAAGCTCAATTGGATGATTTGAAAGCTAAGGGCTTTATTCGTCCTAGTGCTTCACCCTGGGGAGCATCGGTTCTTTTTGCGAAGAAGAAGAATGGGTCTTTGAGACTTTGCATCGATTATCGCAAGCTAAATCACGTTACGATCAAGAACAGGTATCCTTTACCTAGGATTGATGACTTGTTTGATCAGTTGAAAGGAGCCACTTGTTTTTCGAAAATTGATTTGAGGCGAGGTTACTATCAGTTGAAGGTTAAGGATGAGGATATATCCAAGACTGTTTTCCGCACACGGTATGGCCACCTCATCATGCATAACTTCCATCTTGAGACTTTCCTTCCGAAGTTTAGAGTTCATGGTGCCATGACCTCCTTAATTTTAGCAACTCCTCCATCGTGGGTAGTTTCCCAAAGTATTTTTGTACACATCTATATTTCTCCAACCTACCTCCCTTTCTTCTGTAGACCACGGTTTCCTTGATTTTAGGCTGAACCTTCCATGGCGTCATGGTCACCAAGTTTACATCGTGGGTTATGGTTGTTGCTCTCTTCTTTAATTTTAGTAACTTCTCTTCAACCTTGACTTCCTCTGGATTTAGACCTCATGGCTTCATGGACTTCCTTTTCACGGTGATTTCTTCATCGTGGGTTTAAGCCTACTATATATATATATATATAAAGAAATAAATTAAATCCCATGTCTTGCTAAATTTTAGCAACAGAAGTTGACTTGGCTAAACCATTGTTGAAATCTCCTAAAAATAAGGAGAAGATTGCCTCCACGTTCCCATGACTTAGTCAACTTTTATTTAATTGGTATCCTACTAAAATAGGATCTTCCAAATAAATTCAACTTTAACAAAATTAATCCATCGTGGCAAGTTTAAAAAAAAGCTCGCCATGTGTCGATAAATTATTGGTTGGCTAACTTTAGCCTTCTTATGAGATTGTACTCATGATAATAACTCCACGCCATTTTCTTTTCCTTTTAGGACATTATATCCTAAATTTGGTAAGTCCTAAACGGACTCGCCACTTGTCTTTTAATTTCCCATAATTTAAATATTCCAAGGTGAAATATTTATCAATATTGTAGTTTAACATGGCAAGTTCCAACCTCTTTTCTATTTAAAGAACCACATTAACAATTCCATGTCACACCCTCTTTTCCTTGGACAATTAGAATATTAAATCAATATGGTAAGCTTTGTCAAAACTCGCCACTTGTCTCTTTTCCATTGGGTAAAATAATGGAATAAACAAAATGTAATGATTCACCCGGCTATTGTATAATTTTACGTAATGCAGGGGCAAAAACCATTGATTTTCCTTGGGTTTCAATCCGAAAAACATGCTTTTAAATGTTTTTCCCTTTAATTTTCCAGGAAGAAGAAAAAAAAATGCCTAGAAAAACACATTGACAAAATAAAAATAAAAATGCTGCACACCGAGAATTCCAGTATTTTACAAAATAATTATTACTTCTCCTCGCGGATATATAGCCACCAAAATTTTGATAACCCAATTGACAAATCCTTATCATGCTACGACTTCATGTATAGAACTCATAATAGCATTATAAATATCAATTTTTCCTTTTTTTTTTCTTTTTTTTTTTTCAAATTCCATTGTATCTCAAAACAATTGACTCTTTCCAGCTATCCTATGAACTAAGAGAACTTTTAAATATCTTGAGACTTTTTTAATTTGATACTATTTTATCCACCATTTATCCTAAAAATTTAATCTGTTAGAGCAGTAACTTTGATTTAAAAGTCCTATAAATAGAAGGATATTGGGAATCCCAGCTGCTTGGTTGACATGATTCAAGGAATCTAGCATTTCTCAATGTCATTTGCCATCTTGGTTAACAACTAAGGGCGTTTTGACACCACTGGAGATATCAATATTAAACACATAATCACATGAAGATCGACTAAAATTACCTAAGGGGGTACTTCCTCGCCTTCCAAAGGAGAAAGTCAGAGGGTTCGTCCCCATAGGGGCATTGTGGGTGTGGGAGTATGCTTAAAAAAAAAAAAAAATCGTCCAAAATTAGGGTTATGGGTCTTTAGCCGGGACAGGGAGTGCAGATGTACAATAATTTCTAGACTCCTTGCTACATCATCAAAAATGTAACTTAAGCATTGCAGAAAGATCAAACTTTAAGTCCAGCCAAAAGAAAAATATTTCAATGAGATACTCTGCATGCAAACTACAAGAAAATTGAAGAAAATAGATCTTAGGGTTTAGGGCCAAGAAAGCGGTCGTCCGAAAATGTTATCAATAATGGTGACACGTGGTTTCGGCATTTGTGAATATAAATGTCCATTACATTAGGGAAAGCTTCAGAAGGATTAATTGACCATGTAGCAATTAGCAAGTGTTGGGACAATAAGAGCTTGGTTAGAAACCAGGATTCTTTCTCATTAGGATGAATACTTCCTTTCATCCAGTATATCCAGTACATGACAAAATGTAAAATGATTTAAGAGAAGCATCAGTATTTGAGATCCTAGTACACACATACAGTATGGAATTCGCATCAAGAAAAATTCTCGATACCATCACTCTGTTTTAGCTGGGATATGGTTTCCGCCCATAGCAATCTTGTACAAATAAAACCCAGTCATGAGCGCACTGCAAAACAAATGTGATAGCAAGAGGTTGAGAAGCTCATTACTTCTTAAGCTCTAATGATGTCGACTGAGAAGCAAGTATCTCAGAACAGATACTAAAGGAACATTAGATGGCATTGTTAAATAACTTTAAGGTCAGCTGACAGTGGTGTAAGATCAAAAGCATTAAAAAAAATAAAAATAAAAATAAAAAAAAAGAAGAAGAAGAAGAAGAAGTTAGTATAGCAAAAGATAGTTTATTCAACTCAATTCAACCATTTCTTTTCCCCTGGAAAAAATTCAACCATGTTAGTACAATATGAGTCAATTCAACTCAACGCCCAAAAAATACAGTTTGTCGATTCCTGCAAGGATAATTAGTTATCATTGCATGTGTTTAAAAATAAAATGGGGTGCTTCAAAAGTGATCGTGTTGGAAATTGTGTCTCAAATTCCTATTCTAATTAGGATTCTATTTTATAGTTGTATTCTATTAGGTAATTTCTTATTTGACAAGTCTTAGCCTCTAAGGAATTGTAATCCTTGTCTAATAAGGATTTATGTTTGTAACTCTATAAATAGGTACATGTGTTGCGGGTTGAGACTAATGAGATTGAGAAAGATGTAGTTTCACGAGGGAGTTGATGGTTAGAGGTAGTATGCAAGTTGGTAGAGTAGGAAAAACGCCAACAAAGCCATAATAAATATCGCCTATCCAATTGCTATATTATAAAAGAGAGTATTTTAAAGAGAGCAGTGTTATCAAAGGCCCAAGGCGCATTAAGGTGCTAGAGGTCCTCTGGAGCCTAGGCGCAAGGTGAGGCGCGCACCTGAGTAAAGTGACGCACATAATGGAAAAACTTAAATTACTATTAAAGTATTTAAATTCCATATAAAAGGTGAAAATGTTGTAAAAGGCGCACCTGGGAACACAACAGGCGCAAGTCTTGCAGCTGTATGAGCCTGGAGACTAGGCTCGCCTTTGACAACACTTATCTGAAATGATTTCTTATTTTATCCACCTCTTCAATTTAAAATATCTTAACTTATTTTTATTGGTTCTATTATTGATCGTTGTCAAACATGTATAAACTATCATAATAAACTCCTTTTATTTTCACCACTGGTGAAATTTACTCCAGAATACTCATGAGAATATGTTACACGTGGTTTGATGGATGCCATACAGAGGAATGAAAAAATAGGATTTGTGTAACTGACCCTAAGTAGTTGTGAAAAATGCTTTGTTTGTTGCTGCAAGCTCGTGCCATTCTTTAAAGTCCAACGAGGGAAAAAAAAAAAAAATTTGTCACTCAATAGTGCTTTATTATAAACCAGCAAAACAAGACAACCAGAATAAGCATATCCTGTCAAATTACTATATTATAGAAGTTCTGGAGACAGATGCTGTGATCAGCTTAAAGCGGAGAAATTTGTTCAACAAATTGATGCCAATCAAAGTCAAATGCATGAGAAATCCCATAGAGAGAAAATGAGTAAGGAATAATATAACTCCAGATCACTAACATTCAAGGAAAGTATCACCTATTCTTCTTGAAGCAACAAGATCATGAAGAATTTTAAATGCAGTGCTACAATCTCAGTTTTATTCATTCATTAACTAATAACTTAGTTCATGACAAATATGTCCTAATAAAGCAGATCACTCCCCAAAAGTGTACTCATCTCCTACAGGTTGATATAGCCGTGAAATTATAAGACCCAGTAATTACAACATAGCCATGAAATTATAATAGAATGTCCCTGATCACCTAATAATTCAGTAGGTCCAGCTAAGGCAAAATACGAGAAAGTACAAGAATATCCATACAGTCAAAGTTCTAAATAAGGTAACCTAGACTTGAGCCAAACTGATATTCTAACTGATAGAAATCCAACATATGAAGAGCACAAGACAAACATTTTAAAAAAAATAAAATAAAACAAGATCAAATAAAAAGGCATGCTTAATTATTTACCTGATCACGGCAACAACACCGGCTGGCATTATCTTAGACGTCTGAGCATAGCGCTGTCCCATGACCCACGTGAGTATCACAGCACAAGCTGTTTGAAGGCATATAGATCAGTCAAAATAAAATTTTGTGAATGGAAAAACAAAAACTATGATGAGCACAACTTAAAAAGAAGTAATATTTAGGGGTTTTTACTGGATCATTTTGTAACAATGCACTAACCTTACCCAGCTTTGAATGTGCTCCTCATTTTACATCTTGTTTCTCATGTTTTAAATGGCGACGATTAGATCCATAGCTAGTATAGTTATAGAAGACTGTCACTGCTAAGATTTAATTTTTCATACATAAAAAACATCACCCTTCCCTTCCGGGGGAACAAAGCGTACGCTATATCATCTTGATTGTGATATTATGGTCCGAGTTTGGTGCCAGGTCGCGTTGCGACCCACTTATGACCCGACGACACGTTGGATGGAAAATTTTGACCCCTTTTTTGCTCATGGGTCGTGGACCCTAATTAGTCTTTTGTAGCCCGATATATAAGGGCGCTTAGGGTTTGGAGTGGTGGACGTGAGAGGCTCTGATATTCATACAGAAACAAAGTGAGGCGCTGAAAACTTGTAATCTCCGATTTTACACATAATGAAAACTTTCGCCAGATCCCAACCGAGGACGTAGGCTATTGCCGAACCACGTATAAATCTTTGTGTGGCGTGTTTACTTTTCGGTCGTGATTCTTGATTCCACTTGAGTTCGTTACGTTTGTCATAACATTGATGATAGGAGGTTGTCCTAGGACATGCAGTTTGAAAGACTTCTGCATGATTGGGAGGTGGAGGATATGGTTGAGTTCCTGCTATGCTTTATAAACAGGTTCTTGCTGGGGAGGGGATGGATGAGTCATTGTGGGTGGAAACAAACCATGGGAGGTTCGAGGTCCAGTCCTTCTATCGCCAACTGATGGATGTTCAAGGATGTCCTTTCCGTGGAAAGGTTTTTGGCGCTTGAAAGTACTCCTGATGGTTTCTTTTTTTGGATGGACAACAGCCCAGGGGAGGATTTTGACCATTGACAATCTGAGGAGGCGGCATCAGATTATTGTCAATTGGTGTTGTTCGAATAAGCGGGATGAGGAGACGGTGGATCACCCCTTCTCCATTGCCCTAGAGCTAGGGATGGTTGGGATTTTCTGTGCGCCTTTTTTGGGATTAAGTGGGTTGTGCCAAAGTCCACGAGGAGCTTCATCGATGCTTGGGCAGTTGCCAACTGCGCTCCAAAGCTACAGATGTGTGGACTATTCCCCTATGTCTTTGGTAGCCCTCATGGAGAGAGAGGAATAGGAGATCCTTTGATGGGGTGGAATCAACTTGGGTGATGTCAAGATTCTTTGTTCTTAGTTCTCTATTCTTTTGGGTTCAAGGCTCTCGGTGTAAACGTTTGGAGATTCTTTTGGATTTTGTGGATAGCTTAAGGCTATAGGTTTTTTTGTAGTTTGTTCCGGGCTGCGCTCCTCTTTTGGGTGCTTTTCAATGAATACTTGTCATAGAAAAAAAAATTTATTAGTCTAAACCCTGTGCATGAAATTTCTGAAATTTGCTTATACTACATGCATACACATAGCAATACCTTTACTCCCTTCACCAGCATTTGACATCATCAATGAAGACAATATAAATCAGAAAATTGAGATTACATATATATAGGGAACTCTTTCATGAGGCCTCTTAACAGATTAGCAGAAAATCCTAAAACTCAAGTTTCATGACCATGCGTATCACTAGAAGCAAGTTTTGGTGTCTGACTATTCTTTTCCCCCTAGGACAGAGATCCATGCTTGTTGCCACTAGTAATTTTTAATGTCTGATGCTCTTCTCCCGATCTAGAAACTTGAAAAGAGACCCATAATCTTTCCTTTTCTATTCATGCTTGACTCGCATATTGCTAGTTCTATAGAGCTTGTTATGTCGCCAATAGGCCAACCTATGTCTGCAGTAGAAAAAGGATTGAGATGCACCAATTGATGGCTCCCATTTATGAGATTAAGTCCAAGACGAATTAGCTAATTTGATGATTCAATGGAAAAAAAGGTTGTGTGTGTCAGATGGTTAAACTATCAAGAAGGAATGCCAAAAGTTTTGAGAACGTCTAGGAAAGAGAAGAGGCTTACTTTAAGAGTTTACACAGCCTTACCTCGCACATGTGAAGAGGCTCCTATTTCAATCCAGTGACCTCCATCAGGTCACAATGGAGCAACCTTATCGTCGCACCAAGGCCCACCCTCAATGTTTTGGTTTTTTTTTTTTTAAGATAAGTAAAATTTCATAGAATCAATGTCAAAAGTTTTGAGAAGGTCTAGGAAAGTAATGTTAAGTTTGAATGTTATTTTATTACAACCTGCCTGTGGGTACACTTGGAATATCAAAGGGAACATATGATGTTGGTTTTTAATCATTTTCCTCCTTATGCTGATATGGTGATGTTTAATTGGGAACCTAACAAATCACAACAAAGAATAACGTATAATCAAGACTTCATAATTTAATCCAAACTTTCTTGTAATGATGGAATAGTATTTCTTATATAAGATAGGCCGAACCATTTTTATGCTTTACTACAGTGTAGAATGTTTCTTTCTATACAACATGATGTACCAATATTTATTGTTTATTACCTCATATCAAGAGTTTTCTCAAGTAATAAATTTTCAAGAATTTCAAGCTTTGATTTTCTTATTATCCACAGATAAATGATGAATGTCATAAAGATTAAGTGAGACCAATGACAAAATGAAGTCCATAAGCAGAGAATTCATTTTAAAGCTAGAGCTTCCAAATATTACAAATTTCCCATTTTACAGTTAAAAATTATGCCATAATGGCCTATTTGTTGGAAAAAATATTCTAATAGTAGAAGTAAAAAATTTAATTCCCAATTGGTTTAGCAAATCGTGATTTAGAAGAAGAAGATCACTACCTTAGGACGAACGGTAGATCTTTGTGAGAACACTTCTTTTCTTCAAGTTACAAGCTGATTCTAATGGCTTCAAAATAACCCCAAATCCTCACTCCTATGACCTCGATGAAATCCACAAGCTATGGAAGACTGGTCTCCAAAAGAGAATAGGAACCCTTGGTCTAGAGAGAGGGAGACAGAATGTCTTGCAATCAAACAAAATACATGCATACACAAGACAGTTGGCCACCCCTTATTTATAGACCAAGAGGGTGGCCCACTTTATCTCCTACTCTACCTTATTTCTTTTCTAAGTTATAATTCAATTGCTTGCTTTTCAAGTTAGGCTAGAAGTGGGACCTAGATGGGCCAATCCAACACTTGGCACCAATGGGCATGTTAAATGTCTAATCAACTATTGACCCAATCATGGGCAATAGCCCATTTGGTACAAACTTGGCCTCTCCAAAGGGAGGTCAGGGTTCAAGCCTCAGTGGAGGCACGTGTGTGTGAGTTTGCGTTACCATCCAAAAAAAAAAAACCATTCACCCAATTAATAATCCCACTAATTATTTTTATCTCCACTAAATAAACATAATTGCACTCCACATAATGAAAAAGAAAAGACCTCTCCATGTTAAATTACGAAATAACCCCTCTATGCATAATTAATATTTGGATAAAGTAATGTTATCAATCCAATTACTAATTCACACTTATTTTGATTTATTCCGTTTGATCACATAAATTTATTTTGAGAAAATAATATATATTTCATAAATAAATATATACTAAAACAGTTTTATCAAGACCACTGGATTCAGATTTCTGTGATCAAACAAATCAAGTCAAAATATATATCTTGCATAGATACCATCTTAAGAATATATGTTTCAATGCCAATAGTCAATGATTATCCAAAATACTCAGTATGATAACCCATGGGTCACTGTAGTAAAACAAAGGAAAAAAACAAAGATAAAGAGTCCATTGATCTCTCAGGTTTAAGAGTTACTTGTGAAAATTTACAATGACGGCTATTGTACTTTTCACTTCTTGGAAATCTACTTTAATGCGTCATAGACATCAACATGTATGGTTTTGAGTCTTCCACTGACTGAGATAAGCCACCGTATCTCATAGAAACTAACATGTTATATCCTTTCAGATAGAATGCCCAATTCTTCCACTGAATGCGAATGATATTTGTGATAATGTAAATTAATGATTTATATCTCCTATGCATGACTCTCCCTGTGCATCTAAATCTTCATTACATAGTCAGTGGACTCTTAATTCATCTGATGAATCAACCAATACAAGCATTCACCATATATGTATGTAAAGCACTAAATAACCCCGATTTATTAGTAAAATAAATGTCAATTACAATCAAATATTGGCTTTGAAGGGCATAAAATATTTATGTATTACAGAACTAATATCATAAAGCAAATAATTAAATAAAAATGAATAATAAATCAACATTGTGCCTTACAGCCATCACATTCCTATCATTCATGATGGTTTTGTAAGAGAGGCAAAGCCCTTTAAACAACATTAATAAGACACCACAAAGAAACCATTATGGTTTGGGTTGCTTCCTATTAGATCAAAGTTTAAACAGCTTCTTATCTGGCAATGTAGTGGTAGTGAAGCCGTTTCTTTATTTTTTTTCCTTTTTGGTAAATACACCATAACTGAATCAGCTTGACCAAATAATTAACCGTTTTGAATTGGCATATATTGGATTGAAATCAAGTGGGAATCAACATGTGCTGTATTCAAATTGACATCATCTACTATCAATAATTGGAATTGCAAACAACGTGTAACTCAACAATTTAAAAATAAATAAATAAATAAAATAAGAATCAGAAAAGGGGCAGAAATCCAGTTGAGTTCTTTCTGCATAATATATAAATACTGTGTTTGGTTTCTGAGAAAACTGATGGGACGCAAGAAAAGAATAAAGTGAAGTAGCAAAAATTGACTCATAACTTGTAAATAGTTTCCGTAATCATGTAAACCCAAGTAGTTGTCTTAGGCACAAATTGACGGAGCTTTTCCCTTTTCAGGACCCAAAATGTGAAAATCCTAAGGTTCATTCATTTCCCACCATTTTCCCAGCAACCAAATGGAGAATAAATTGCTACATCTGAGATCCATACCAAGAAATGCAACACTAATAAGATTTCCTAATGCATCATAAATCCATGAATGACTTGGGATAACATCAAAATATCATTAAAAGTACACGTGTGTTTGAATAGAGATAAGCAATACCCGTCTCGAGAATCAAGGCAAGGTATGAGTTCTTTCGCTTATTGAAAGCTTTGAGGCTGAGATAACCAGCTAAGATGAGCAAAAATCCAGTGCCCAGACCTCCAGCCAATGAAGCTGTGCTCCCTTTCTTGGCATACCCAACAATCCCACCACAAACCATAATCAACCCATACGGGATCGTAAAGCAAAAATCATGCATTTTAAAGATCTGGGTCTCCAACGGAAAGATCAAAATGAGTTTCAGAGATAAAAACAAGTGAAGAATTTGAGGGTTTTGTGTATCTTTCTGGTGTCTGAATGTTTCAACAATGGAGTTCCGTTGGTCAAAAAAAAAAAATTGTTGGTTTGACCTAAGGCCGATTATTGTATATAATAAAATTTCTTCATTATCTCTAGTCTTGTGCGTGTGGGCACCACACTCAACGTCACAGTGTCACACCAACGCTTATCGCCTTCGCCAATAAGTATTTGAACAAAATTACCATAAAGCAATATAGACCACCACCTACGCCCTCGCAGTATATTGTTGACCCGAGGGAAAATTTTAAAAAATCCCTAGCCAATTATGCATATATTTTTAAATATGCTATTTTTTCAAACTAATAGATTTAATTATTAATTTTTTTTAATCTAATTACAAAAGCATATAAAATTATTATTTAGACTTTTTAATAGGCCAAAATGTTCATTGATTTTTTTTTTTTTTTTTTTTTTTTTTTTTTTTTTTTTTTTTTTTATACCGTTACCATCAAATTTATTCCCAACCCACCCAGACAATTAACAAAAAATTGCTCCTAAATTATCTCTCCAACTCTCTTCTCTCTTTTTATCATTAGCTGTATTGATGAAATCAATTCAAATGGGTAGCGAAAACTTGCACCGGTGCAACTTTTTTATCGGTGCACATTCCTTGTAACGCCCATTCGTAATGAATGGGCAAATTTATTCCCAACCCATCCAAACAATTAACAAAAAATTACCCCTAAATTATCTCCCCAACTCTCTTCTCTCTTTTTATCATTAGTTGTATTGATGAAATCAATTCAAATGGGTAGCCAAAACTTGCACCGGTGCAACTTTTTTATCGGTGCACATTCCTTGTAACGCCCACTTGTAATGAATGGGCAGACAATATTATGCACTGTGCTAGTGTTTTTTTGCACCGGTGCAGTTTCTTTCTATTAGGTATGACATAAGAGTACAACATTTGGTACTACACAGGTGAAATAAAAGTTGGACACAATGAGATAAAATTAGAACTATGTGAAATAAACGTTTGACACTGTGAGATAAAAGTTATACAATTAGTTTTTCAAAAGGTGAACCTTATTGTTTTATATGGTAGGAATCCATTGATAAAAGAGGAAGTATAGCTTTGAATTTGTCAGATATTGGACAATACATATTTAATATAGATAGATAAATTTTGTGAAGTTATGATACAAGGTAGGCATATGAGGCCTACAAGCTTTTCTTTGTCTTCAGAGGAGCCACCTTTAGGTTGTATTTCATATTGGGTGATGGTATGGATTGGATAAGAGGGGAGGAAGATGATGAAAAAATGATTTTTCACTTTAAGACATTCTATTTATAGTAAAACCCTAAAAGTGTTCTGAAAGGGCCCCGCCAGGTCTGGAAAAGTGTAATTTGAGCAGACGCGCTCAAACGGTGAAACTCCATGAAGGAGAACCAAAATGAGAAAATATGAACAACGGAAGAAACGGTGTTGAAAATTGAGTCCCGAACAGAAAGATATGCCCAGAACAAGTTCAGTAGCAATCGGGGGCAATAAACCCTGAAACTGGGGAAGAACGACCAGAAGGAAATTCTAATAGTACGCAACTCGATGAAAAGTGAAAATGAATCTTGTATGAGGATCCAGGCTCAAAACCAGGTATCTTTGTAATAATTTTCATTAATTGCACAATAGCCCCTCTAGAAAGTGATAATTGCACTAATGACCCAGAATAAAAATATCTCCCAAAAATATTTTTTTAAAAACCCCTAAAATAAAATATCTCCAAAAGATATTTATGAAAAACACCTCGAGAAAAGAAAATGTTTTTGAAGAACTGTGCATCCATGCCTCTATGGACACCGGGAGCAACTAGAATACTTTTCTACAAAAGTAAAGATACGTATTTCGTGAAAACCACTTAGAACGAAGATACGTGAAGTCAAAATCCAACTCCGAACATAAAAAGTGAGGTTATACCAACAAAGTGACAAACGGGAAAAAGACTAAAAGTGAATAGTGTCCAAAAAGTGAAAATGTGGAAATAACGCGGTCCTTTAAGGAAGTTGTCAATCCCAAGGAAATAGTCTCATAAACAATTCCTAAGCACTCGAGATGATACTAAGTGACGAGAAACCAAACTCAGAAAAGAAAAAATCAACGGAAAAAAAAAATATCCATGAAAATCTGAGAAAAATGAAAGAAAAGAAAATGACTGGGTCATTACAAAAGAAGTCAATTTATTGAAATAAGTTTTTTTTTTTTTTTTTTTTTTTTGGACATTTAAAATGTTGTATTGAAACTGATTTAGTATCCAAACTATTTTAAACGTGAAAAGTTATTTTTCTTATTTTAAATTGTGTATTTTATATTGTGCATCCTTTTGCTTTAATTAGACAATCTGCATCTAATTTATATTTTGTTGAAAATTTTTATTGTGACTTTATCTCAATAGGAAATTGACCCTACATCTTTCACGTAAGTAGACTTGATATCCAATTCAATTTGAGGTCTATACTATAATGATGATGATAGAGATGGGAAACTCTAGTAAGATCGCCTTAGGATTTAATCCTTCGATTAATCTTACCTATGATAACATTGATTGGTGGTTAAACTCGGGGAAAACGTACATGTATGCTTTAGTAGTGACTGTTTTAAGACTTACAAAAAATTTAATGGTGGAAGTGTAACCTTAGGAAATAATTCTATATCACAAATTTATGGAATTGGAGACGTGGAATTAAAGATGACCTCTGGGAAGATTCTAACTTTAAAGGATGTGCGACATGTACCCAGAGTGAGGAAAAATTTAGTTAGTGGACCTTCTTTAGTTCAACAAGGGTTTAAAATTGTAATGGAATCAAATAGATTTGTAATCACAAAGAACAATGTTTTATGGGTAAAGGTTATATTAGTGAGGGATTTTTAAATTGAATTTTATTTTCGATGTGAATTGAATCTCTCCACAAGTTTATAGCGTCGAATTTTGTGATGTTTGGCATTGAAGACTTGGACACGTTAGTATGAAGAAAATTAAAAAATTGATGGATCTTAATTTACTCCCAAAGTCCAAGGTAGATTTTAGACGTAAGTGTGAGATATGTATACAAGCCAAACAACCTAGGAAACCTCACAAAGTAGTTATGAGGAATACAAAAATTCTAGAACTTATACATAGTGATGTGTGTGATTCCAATAGACCACCAACTAGGGGTGATAATAAATACTTTGTGACTTTTATTGATGATTTTTCTAAGTATTGTTATGTATATTTGATAAGGACTAAGGATGAGGTTTTTGATAGATTTAGAGTTTACAAGAGTGAAGTGGAAAATCAATTGGAGAAAAATATTAAAAGATTGAAGTCCGACAGAGGAGGAGAATATTCTTGGAACAAACTTGGAGACTTTTGTGAGGAACATGGTATTATACATGAAGTAACTCCTCCATATTCACCGCAATCAAATGGAGTAGCCGAAAGGAAAAATAGAACTCTTATAGACATGGTTAACTCAATGTTATTAAGTAGTGGTGTACCCGAGAATTTGTGGGGGGAAGCTATGCTCACTGCATGTTTCATACTCAATCGAGTAACTGTCCAACTTAATGATAGAACTCTATATGAGTTATGGAAAAGTAGAGTACCTAATCTTCAAATCCTTAAAGTGTGGTGGTGTCTAGCTAAAGTACACCTACCAGAGCCAAAAAGAATGAATATAAGACCTAAAACAATAGATGCCATCTTTATAGGATATGCTCAATGTAGTAGTGCCAATAGATTCTTAGTATTTAACTCTGAAGTTAGTGATATAGCAAAAAATTCAATAATAGAATCTAGAGATGCTACCTACTTTGAAGATATATTTCCTTATAAGTTCAGAATACCAAGTCAGATAGTTGATACATCTTCAACCTATTATAGTCATTTAGCATCTTCTACTAGTACACCATTAGTGGAAGATTCTCAACCACAAGAACTTAGAAGAAGTAATAGACATAGAGTAGAAAAGAATTTTGGAGACGACTTTTTCACATACCTAGTCGAGGGTGATCCAATTACATATAAAGAAGCAATGTAATCTTTAGATGCTCCTTTTTGGAAGGAAGCTATAAATGACAAGTTTCAATCTATATTACAGAATAACACTTGGGTCTTAACTGTGTTACCTCCTTGTAATAAGGCTATAGGTTGTAAGTGGATTTTCAAAAGGAAGTTAAAGCCTGATGGAAGTATAGATAAGTATAAGGCTCGACTAGTAGCTAAAAGTTTCACCTAAAAGAAAGAAATAGATTATTTTGACACAAATTCCCCTGTGACTAATATCATAACCATTAGAATACTAATAGTTTTAGTCTCTATCCATAACTTAGTTGTGCATCAAATGGATGTTAAAACCGCATTTTTAAATGGTGACTTAGATGAAGAAATATATGTGGAGTAACCTGGGGGATTTATAGTAAAAGGACAAGAGAATAAGGTGTGTAAATTAGTTAAGTCCTTATATGGTCTTAAGCAAGCTCCTAAACAATGGCATGAGAAGTTTGACAAAGTAATCTTAGATTATGGATTTAAGATTAATGATAATAATAAATGTGTATATTACAAGGAGAATAATGAAGAAAATGTTCTATTATGTTTGTATGTGTATGACATATTAATTTTCTGGACAAGCTTAGAACTTGTATGTGATATAAAGTCCTACCTCTCAATGAATTTTGAAATGAAGGATTTAGGAAAGGCATCAGTGATCTTAGGCATGAAATTGAAAAGAACTTCTTGAGGTATCACCCTTAATCAATCTAGTACCATTAAGAATATGTTAAAAAGATTTAATTACACTGAGTGTTATAAAGTATTGACACCATATGATCCAACAGTACCCTTGAAGAAGAATGAAGGCGAACCTATATCTCAATTAAAATATTCTCAAGCTATAGGCTTTCTTTTATACTTCGCAAATAAAACTAGGCCTGATATTGCCTATGCTGTTGGTAAACTTAGTAGATATATGCATAATCCAAGTAAGGATCATTGGATGGCGATAGATAGAGTATTTAAATATCTCAAGACTACAATAGATTATTCCTTGTGCTATAAAGGTTTTCCAAATA